CAGACTGATAGATAGATAGATAGATAGATAGATAGATAGATAGACATACAGATGATAGATAGATAGACAGATAGACTGATAAATAGATAGACAGACAGACAGAATGTTGAGAGAATGACATGAGGAGGTTGTTGTGTAGTAGAGAAGGGGAACGGTGAGCTCTCTATTCATGTGGAAAACTCACAGTTCTAGGAATTGTCATAATCAGTGTAAAACGGTGCAGTCTTGATGAAGTGAGCTTTACGCTTCCAGGAAAGGTCAGAGAGAAAACGTCCCTTTGATTCTTTGCAAATTGTGTAGCGTGTACATAATGATACTTTCTATTATTGTAGTAGTTGACCTTCTGTTATTATTAGTACAACTAACAACTTTGAACCACAACCATATAATTTCATGTTGCCTTCATTAAATCTTTGTCATTGGCTATTAAACTAACTTCTTGGTCAGCTGCAGTTCAATAATGTACCTTTAAGACCTTTGGGAAATGGTTTTATTTAGCAATTTCTGCAAATGATGTGAGATCAAATTTTTCATACAGGAGCCATACTATGTGCGGTGTATAAAGCCAAATGAAGTGAAGTCTCCCATGCTGTTTAATGACGGACGCTGTCAGCACCAAGTGGCGTACCTGGGACTGCTGGAGAATGTCCGTGTGCGTCGAGCTGGATTTGCCTACACCTGATGAGCTCTGACCAGGAGGCTGTGGAGGCCATCGTGAACCAACACGGCTTTGAGGACGATGTAGCTTATGGCCACACCAAGCTATTCGTGAGAACCCCTCGCACGCTCTTCACGCTGGAGCAAGAGAGAGCCGCGCTCATCCCCATACTAGTGCTGTTCTTACAGAAGGTGACATACACTGTCTATTCACTTTTCCCTTTCTATCTGTTTCCTGAGGCGCTTTAGGTCTCTCAACATTGTATTTCTTGTTATCCTGTACCACTGCTGCTTCCCGTCTTTCTCCTCCTTCTCCCATTTCATTTCAGTGTTTTCTTGCTCTCTCTAGCTGTCTCACTGAATCATTCTTGACTTCTTCAGTTTTTTTAATGTGTTCAGAGGTGACATGACAGTGGAGTGGGATCATAACACCTAGACAGCAGCTCCCTCTGCACCTCCACTTCAGTCGATCTTTATAACCTCATACATTTGATCTTGCAAAGCATAAATCTATATTTACATCCTCATCTACGTGTTTTATTGTTAATGGGAACCCATTCCTATTCAAAGCCGATATAAATATACCTGTTTATATGTAAAGCAATATTTATTTGCACTTATGAACATTATAAACCAATATTTATTTGTATGTTTTGTACATGTTGATTCAAATCTGCTTTGAACGATTATAGTGGGCTCATACATGAAGATATGGATGTAAATATAGATAAATTCATTATTTCTAGGTTTTCCCACTCATTCATCTGGTGTGTAGGCTGTATGTGACTCTAATAACAGTGATTGTGGTAATGATTATGAGTGGTGGATTATTCTTGTTGCATTCAATTATTCATCTGCAGTGTGAGTTGCCCTGATTTCACTTCTGTCCCACTTAATGCTGCCTGACTTAAACTAAAGGACAGCTTAGTCAAAACTCAGTCCTGCATAGCAGATGAGATGACCCAGCAGGTGCCATGTTTCTGTCCGTCTCACTGACTCGCTCACTCATTTATTCCCTGAATCATTTGATCATTCACTCATTCACTTACTCATTTATTCACTGGATCACTTGATAATTCATTCACTCACTCACTCATTTATTAACTGAATCATTTGATCGTTCACTCACTCACTCTCTAATTTATACACTGAATCATTCTATCAGTCACTCATTCACTCACTCATTCATTCACTGAATCATTTGATCACTCACTCATTTATTTACTGAATCATTCGATCCTTCGCTCGCTCGCTCACTCACTCAATTATTCACTGATTCATTTGATCCTTCTCTCACGCACTCACTTAATTATTCAATAACTCAGTCATTATTCATTGAATCATCTGATCATTCACTCACTCATTTATTCACTAAATCTATAGGTCACTCATTCACTTATTCACTGAATATTTTAATAATTCACTCACTCGCTCGCTCGATTGTTCACTGAATCATTCGATCATTCACTCATTTATTCATTAAATCATTAGATCATTCATTCACTTATTCACTGAATCATTTGATCATTCAAGGGATAGTTCACCCAAAAATGAAAATTCTTTCATTAATCATTCACCCTCATGTCATTCCAAACCCGTAGGACCTTCGTTCATCTTCGGAACACAAATTAAGATATTTTCGATGAAATCCAAGAGCTCTCTGACCCTCCATAGACAGCAAGGGAACTACTACAGTCAAGGCACAGAAACGTAGTGAGGACATCGTTAAAATGGTCCATGGGACATCAGTGGTTCACTCACTTATTCACTGAATCATTTGATCACTCACCCACACATTTATTCACTGAATCATTCGATCACTCACTCACTCACTCACTCACTTACGCACTCAGTCATTCACTCACTCACTCACTCACCCACACATTTATTCTCTGAATCATTCGATCACTCACTCACTTACTCACTCACTCAGTCATTCACTCACTCATTCACTCACTCACTCACTCAGTCATTCACTCACTCACTCATTCAGTCATTCACTCACTCACTCACTCACTCACTCACACACATTTATTCACTGAATCATTCGATCACTCACTCACTCACTTAGTCATTCACTCGCTCACACATTTATTCACTGAATCATTCGATCACTCACTCACTCACTTACTCACTCAGTCATTCACTCACTCACACACACACACATTTATTCACTGAATCATTCGATCACTCACTCACTCGCTCACTTACTCAGTCATTCACTCACTCACACATTTATTCACTGAATCATTTGATCGCTCACTCACTTACTCACTCACTCACTCACTCACGCACACATTTATTCACTGAATCATTCGATCACTCACTCACTCAGTCATTCACTCAATCACATTTATTCACTGAATCTTCGATCACTCACTCACTCAGTCATTCACTGACACACACATTTATTCACTGAATCATTCGATCACTCACTTACTCACTCAGTCATTCACTCACTCACTCACACATTTATTCACTGAATCATTCGATCACTCACTCACTTGCTCACTCAGTCAGTCATTCACTCACATTTATTCACTGAATCATTTGATCGCTCACTCACTTACTCACTCACTCACTCACTCACGCACACATTTATTCACTGAATCATTCGATCACTCACTCACTCAGTCATTCCCTCTCTCTCTCACTCACTCACTCAGTCATTCCCTCTCTCTCTCACTCACTCACTCAGTCATTCCCTCTCTCTCTCACTCACTCACTCAGTCATTCCCTCTCTCTCTCACTCACTCACTCAGTCATTCCCTCTCTCTCTCACTCACTCACTCAGTCATTCCCTCTCTCTCTCACTCACTCACTCAGTCATTCCCTCTCTCTCTCACTCACTCACTCAGTCATTCCCTCTCTCTCTCACTCACTCACTCAGTCATTCCCTCTCTCTCTCACTCACTCACTCAGTCATTCCCTCTCTCTCTCACTCACTCACTCAGTCATTCCCTCTCTCTCTCACTCACTCACTCAGTCATTCCCTCTCTCTCTCACTCACTCACTCAGTCATTCCCTCTCTCTCTCACTCACTCACTCAGTCATTCCCTCTCTCTCTCACTCACTCACTCAGTCATTCCCTCTCTCTCTCACTCACTCACTCAGTCATTCCCTCTCTCTCTCACTCACTCACTCAGTCATTCCCTCTCTCTCTCACTCACTCACTCAGTCATTCCCTCTCTCTCTCACTCACTCACTCAGTCATTCCCTCTCTCTCTCACTCACTCACTCAGTCATTCCCTCTCTCTCTCACTCACTCACTCAGTCATTCCCTCTCTCTCTCACTCACTCACTCAGTCATTCCCTCTCTCTCTCACTCACTCACTCAGTCATTCCCTCTCTCTCTCACTCACTCACTCACGCACACATTTTTTCACTGAATCATTCGATCACTCACTCACTCACTTACTCACTCAGTCATTCACTCAATCACATTTATTCACTGAATCTTCGATCACTCACTCACTCAGTCATTCACTCACACACACATTTATTCACTGAATCATTCGATCACTCACTTACTCACTTACTCACTCAGTCATTCACTCACTCACTCACTCACTCACTCACACATTTATTCACTGAATCATTCACTCACTCACTCACTCACACACATTTATTCACTGAATCATTCGATCACTCACTCACTTACTCCCTCAGTCAGTCATTCATTCACTCACTCACTCACTCACTCACACATTTATCCAATAATTCATTCAGTCATTCACTCGTTATACTCATATATTCATTCAGCAGTGAATAAGCAGGTCTTTATCTCTCTCACTCTACCATATATCTCATTGCACCTTGTAAACTTCACTCTATCAGCTGTCATATATTTCATAGTTGTTCATTTGAGTTACTGTACATTTGTCACACTTCAATACTCCCAAACCCAATTTGCATTATTTTTTCCTTTTATTTTCCTTATCAATGCTAAACAGTACATTATATTTAATAACACTGTGTCCCAACAATATGGAGCGGCCTCTGTCCCCACTGCCTGCATCATTCTATCTGAAATGAAACATAAGTGACTAATTTGTTTGGTCACACAATATTATTGGGTGAAATTGTACATTTGTGTATTTTAAATTAGATGGAACTATTTTAGAATAGATGGAATAAAATGGGCATATTTTATATTTATATAAATTATACATACTGTTGAAGTTTGGGGTCATTTTTTTTTATTTTTTATAAATTAATATTTTTATCCAGCAAAGACACATTAAATTGATCAAACTTGACAATAAAGTCTTAACCTTTCTAGTTGTCAAGAAAACCTGAACAATGTCACTATTTCCACAAAATATTAAGCACAACTGTTTTCAGCATTAATAATAATAAGAAATGTTTCTTGAGGAGCAAATCAGTATGTTAATATGATTTCTGAAGGATCATGTGACACTGACGACTGGAGTAATGATGCTAAAAATTCAGCTTTGCATCAGAAATAAATTACATTTTAAAATATATTACAATATAAAACAGTTTTAAATTGTATTAATACTTCACAATATTACTGTTTTTATTGTATTTTTTGGTCAAATAAATGCAGCCTTTGTAAACATAAGGGACCTCTTTCAAAAACATTTAAAATGTAACCAACCCCAAACTTTTGACCGTTAGTGTATGCACATGCAATGCTGTCTTAGAATTTATTATTTAAGGTACTTTAATGCCCATAATGCCTGGGCAGTTTAGATTTTGCAACAGAATATGTTTCACCAGCCACATCACAGGGACAGTGTTTAGTGTCTTCAGCGGGTTTCCCTCACATTCATTCAACCTGTATTTGTGTTTTTTTGCAGGTTTGGAGAGGTGCATTAGCACGCATGCGATGTAGGAAAATAAGGGCAATCTATACCATAATGGCATATTATAAATGCTATAAGGTGAAGGCTCACTTCTGGGAAGTGGAGAGATGTTTCGCCAACGTTCGAAACATGGCCGACTATGGGAAGAGTGTGGAGTGGCCGAAACCACCTGCAGCCCTGGTGCAGTTCCACAGAATCACACAACACCTCTACCGCCGGTATTACCATGACTTCATCTTCATGGTGTTATCATGTCTTTTTCTTAATCGTTTGGCCTTCCTCTCATGCTTTCACTGCCTCTCTCTTAGATGGTGGGCCCGGCAGCTAATTAAAAACATCCCTCCGTCTGACATGGCGGAGGTGAGGGCAAAAGTAGCTGCTCTGTCAGCTCTGAGCGGGGAGAGAGTGGACTGGGGCTACAGCCGTGCCTGGGAGAGAGACTATTTGGCCAGTGTGAGTTTTTCATTAGGTTATTCATTTAGAACTTTCACTTTGTATTTTTACATAGTATGCAGGATTTTTACATTGATTAAGCTTATTAAAGTTTTCAGTTTAATAAAGCTTTAAGCCCAGTGGTATATGCAGGAATATTTGGCGGACATAAAAGAACAATTCACCCAAAAACTAAAATAGTTGATATACCATCATATCAAACCATATGACTTTCTTTTTCTTTTGCGGAACACAGAAGATGTTTTGAAGAATGTTCACGCTGCTGTTTTCCATATAACAAATGTGAGCTTTCAAGCTCCAAAAATGATGAAAATCATGATAAAAACTCAAAAAAATGTGTCATAAATCAGAATTCACGTTCATGTATATTCAAATGTGAAGAAAATCTGTTTGCTCCCATTGAACGAAATGAATTAATGTCATGTGTAAATTAGTTTTTGCTGAAGTACAGTTGCTTTTTATATTCACATAGCTTTTCTCTGTGAGAAAGCAGTAATTTGAATATGTTTCTTATAGCTGTACATAACGTGCAAAAAAAAAAAAAAAACTATGGCCAAGAAAAATTTAGTAATTCATGGTCATGTTTTATTAATTAGTTTCCTTGTTTTAATTAAATCGTGGTCACTTTAAATTGGCAATCGTGGCAATGAGGGAACAGATTAGTAAAATGTGGCATAAAATAAGGGAACAAACTATATGGGCAAAAAATCTTAGTTTGTGGCCATGATATCTTGTTTTTATTTTTCCCCCTCATGTCTCTGTAGTATATATAATTATCCTGGGGATTTCACTAAAAGCCTGCATGAGCATCTTGACATCAAAACGTTAAGCCCATTATCATTAAATCCCACTTTATGGTTTAGTCATCATTTTGTCCAAACCAATCTCTTGTTGTTGTGCCTAAACAAACAGCATTGACACTCTGAGCTGTTAACACCATGCACATGACTATTGGTGACTCAAAAACAGGTCAACAGATTGCATCTACTTCTTGTTGTTGTACAATCAAAAATTAGCCTATTTTGACCCTCACAGACCCCACTTGTGTGTTTGTTTCCAGCCTTATGCTTTTAAATTACCATCAATACACAAATCAGTGTTCAACTGATGCAGTCTCATATGCGTCGTTGGCACATGGCCGCCGCATGTGAAGGTGTTAAATGTAGCTGGTGTTTTTTGGGTGAGAGATGTCTCTTGCTATATCTGAGGAGGTAACAGCCATACACAAGACCATCCTCATGCCCTGATTTCACTGCTTGAAAACCGGCTTTGATCAGATGCTAGTCCTGGCATATTTATGCTGATAATGCTGGTTTGATTCTGCTTCACTAACCAAACTGTTCGACTGTCTGGTGAATATGGTTTACCAAAGGGCTCTTTCCGGTTAAATAGATATTTCACCCCAAAAAAATGTACTCTCGCTAATGTTGTTCCAAAGCTTGCTTTCTTCTGGAGAACACAAAAGGAAATATTATAGTACAATTTAACTTAATTTAATTTAATTTAATTTTTATTATGTTTTGTTTTATTTTATTTTATTTTTATTTTTTTGTTAAAGAAGCTAAACTTTTCTGAAGATCTTACATGTCTTATCTGTTTTTCCAATGCTTAGATTGATGTTTTTATGAGCCTTTTTTTTACACTTTTCTTTGCATTTTCTTTGACATTTTCAAGGACAAGCAAAACAAAATCTCTCTTGAACTAAAGTCGAGAGCCCTGTGGCTCCAAATAATTCTCACTCCAGTGGTGTGAAATGAAGAGCGAGTCCATGTGCTCCATACAGTAGTCGAAAAAGAGCTTTCTTTTCTTTCTAATAATCCCGTTGAATTTTCCTCAGCAGCATGAGACTTATTGTGACTTCTGTATTTCACAACGCACATTTTTAGAGCTCGCAAGATGCATGATGAATGCTCCTTCCTGTCGTCACAGTTTATATCGGATGTAACAGATGAGCTTTCAAAGACCTTTGAAGTTTTCAGATCATCTAAATGAATCAAAAGCTTATTCATGAAGCGCTGTTGAGAATCTGTTGTTGCAGATAAGGTGTCATGTCTGTTTGACACATTAGTGGAGTAGGCTGGTGACGATGATGACTGTGTTTTTAAATCCGTCATGCATTGATTTGAATTGATATGAAGGAAGCCATGGAAGCATAAGTGTGCTTGTTGTTTGTGTTGCTTGTGTGACTAAGCTTCTCAGAATCTAGTGTCATAAATCCAGTAATGCGTCTCTCCACTGCAGGCAAAAGACTCTCCTCTGACGAGCACCAACTTTGTGCGCATCACTAAAGAGCTGAAGAACAAAGACCAGTACAGCCAGGTCCTCTTTTCATGCTCTGTCAGGATGGTAGGCTTTTTACATTTCAATTTCACTGTTAATAAATGACAAAAACTATGCATTTGTACTGCCAAAGCATTTGCGGAGGATAGTTAAATGAGGAAATCCTGTAAAATAGCAATAGCACAAATGGAGTAAACTGTGATAAAGCAAACAGAAAATAAAATAGCTGTATAGAGTAAACAAGTAATATTAAACAAAGTAAAATTACAATAGTGAGAATGGAGTAAACAAACAATATTAACAAATAAAGTAACAATAGTGTGATTGGAGTAAACAAGCAATATTAACAAATAAAGTAACAATAGTGTGATTGGAGTAAACAAGCAATATTAACAAATAAAGTAACAATAGTGTGATTGGAGTAAACAAGCAATATTAACAAATAAAGTAACAATAGTGTGATTGGAGTAAACAAGCAATATTAACAAATAGCACAAATGGAGTAAACAAGAAATATTAGCAACTAAAATAATATAACAATAGTGCAAATGAAGTAAACAAGCAAGATTATCAAATAAAATAAAATAACAATGGTGTGAATGTAGAAAACTAACAATATTAACAAATAAAATAATAGCATGAATGGAGTAAACAAACAATATCATCAAATAATGTAAAATTACAACAATGTGAATGAAATAAACAAGCAATATTATCAAATAAAATAAAATTACAAGTGTGAATGGCGTAAACAAGCAATGTTATCAAATTAAATAAAACAATAATACTGTGAATGAAGTAAACTATATTAACAAATAAAGTAAAATTACAACATTGTGAGTGTAGTAAACAAGCAATGTTATCAAATCAAATAAAACAACATTGTGAATGAAGTCAAAAAAACAATATTAACAAATGTAGTAAAATTACAGCAGTATGAATGGAGTAAACAAGCAGTGTTAACAAATAAAGTAAAATAAATTAAATTTAAATGAAATAATCAAACAATATTAGCAAATAAAACATAATAACAGTAGTGCAAATGTAAACAAGCAATATTAACAAGCAATATTATTAAGTAAACAAGCAATATTAACTAATAATATAACACAATACTAAAAAAAAAGCAAAATAAGAGTATGTGTTTTAAATAAGTACTATGTGATAAATGTTACAAATAAGTAAATAAGTACTATTAAGAAGAAAAACATTAATAAAAATGCAAAATAAAACTAGATAAAAAAAGTTTGTCAAGACAAACTTTAGGTTGGCTTGAGAAAGCCTAGCCTGAAAGTTTAAAGCAGTTGTAAAAGCCTGAAGTTTGAAAATGTAGATAGAGTAGATATATGTTAATAACATGTTTCTAGCATGATTAGGATGTTTTAACATGATTGGCCTGTTACTAGCATATTGCTGGCATGATTAGCATGTTGCTAGCATGATTAGCAAGTAACTAGCATGCTGCTAGCATGATTAGCAAGTAACTAGCATGTTGCTAGCATGACTAGCAAGGGACTAGCATGTCGCTAGCATGATTAGCAAGTTAATGGCATGTCACTAGCATGTTTCTAGCCTGATTAGCCTGTTACTAACATGTTGCTAGCATTTTGCTAGCATGATTAGCAAGAAACTAGCATGTTTTGCTAGCATGATTAGCAAGTTACTAGCATGGTGCTAGCATGTTTATAGCATGATTAGCATGCTACTAGCATGTTTCTAGCATGTTTCTAACATATTATTATTATTATTATTATTATTAGACTAAATTAGGGCTGAACGATTTTGGAAAATAATCGAATTGCGATTTTGTTTTACCAATATTGCGATTGCGATTTAATATGCAATTATTTTTTAAAGCTCTTTATGTTCTGTATTATTCAACAAAGACAAGCTTCCAACCTTGTAAGCATATAATAATTATGACAACATAAAGCACTGACAAATAAGCCTGGTGTAAACATTAATATGAAAGTCAGTAACAAATCACACAAACTAAAGTAGATTGCAGAAATATAAAAACAAATCTGTTGCTTTACCACACTACTTTAGGTAATTCACAGTCACTGTAATAAACATATGTAAACATGTGGACTGCACTAAACACTGTCTGTTAACTTTAACCACTGTTAACCACTTTGAGAACAAACACCGTGTCTACACCGGACGCGAGTGGCAAAATACAGTAGAACCATTATAATCAGTGACGCTGTCTACACGCGACACGACAAAACCCCGACATTAAACTGATGCCTTGTTCTATTTATGACGTACTGACACAAAGTTAAAATGATTTGCAACAGTCACTTTGTCGTGTCCAGTGTAGAGCTGTTGCGGCACGGCGTCCGGTATAGACACAGTGAGTGAAGCCGAGAGCAAGATATGCCTCGTCATATTTTCTGCATTTAGCTTTTGAATGACCAGCACCTGCCTGGGTCTGTGCGACTTCATCTATGGCTTTTCTCTTCGCTTTCACAAACCGATCCATCTCCCATTCTAAGTTACGTCCTTTGGCTGTTTACTG